TTCATCTGTTGTGGGTTTGTCTTTCAGGCAGGACATAGGTTTTCCCTTTGACTGTTAGGAGAGGAGATCACCAGGAGTGGTGTTTGAATGCACCAAGTGAAGGAAGGAGTCCAGCAGGACTGAGAAAGAAGATGTGTGGGACTGGCATGATCAGAAAGATGAAAGGTGACTTCATATTGATAACTACATGATATCTAGCTCTCCAGGAGCTGCATTAGTGGCTAGGATTGGAATGTCATATTTTGGAGGAGGGATGGTGTTCCCAGAATATCAGCTTACTGGCAACTATTTTTTTGTTCGTTTCTTTCTTTCTTGTTTTCTTTGTTTTTTTATTTGGTGGTAGAAGTTGGCCTGTTGTACAATAAGATAGCCTGGATAAATGTGGAACTCCTGCTCATTTAGGTTGTTTTTTTCCTTTACAGTGCATGGCTCCATTATTACTGTTAACTGGCCTAAATACTTGATTGTAACTGGTTGCAATAGGTTACTGCACATCCCCAGCATTTGCCCTACTAAACTGTTTGTGTTGCCCATAGTACCCAATTCGATTTTAACGTTAAAGGTCTGAATAAAATATTCTTGGTCAAATAGGCTGTTTTTTTCCTATATGTTGCATGGCTTTATTGTCCTTGTTGACTGGCCTAAATACTGTATGTAACCAGTTGCAGTAGGTTATTGCATATCCCTACTGTCCTCCATTATATGTTGCTTGCCTCAGTTGTCACTGTCAGCTGGTCTAAATACTGTATGTACAGTAACTAGTTGCAATACATTACTGTAAATCCCCACTGTTTCCCTACTGGCCCTTTGTAAGAAGGAAGAACTGTTTGTGTTGCCCATACTAACTAAAGTTTAAAAATTAGATTCTGCCAGTTTCTGGGCAACTAGACCAGCACTTTATGCAGACACCTTTACTGTATACAAGACTCTTTATTGCTGTGTCCATGCGTTTACTTAGAGCAGGGGCAGACTGAAAACTCATGGGGCCCCCGGGAAATAGGGGGTAATGGGGCCCCTGTGTCCTTGCCCAAACTCAAAAAAGCTTATGAAAAAGGTACCAGGGGCATCTCATGGGGCCCCCTACTGACCCGGGCCCTCGGGCAGTGCCCAAGTTTCCAAATGGTCAGTCCGCCCCTGACTTAGAGTAGGATTTTTTTTTTGCATCCATGTAACAAAGACAAAGGTTACATTCTAATTCATTGACTCAGGGTGGCTAGTGTATAGCTGGCAGAGCAATGTATTTGTGATGTGCAGTCCTGTATCTCTGTTTCCAAAATTGCACTGAGCTTCAGTGATAAAATAAGTAACTAAGTAGTAAAATGTCTCAGAACAGAGAAATAAAGACAGATTACAGATGTACATGGAATGAAGTTTTCTTCAATTTGTTTCTTTTATCTTAAAACGTTTCAACTATTTAGGACAAAATGTTACAATGTTTGACCCCGTTCATTTAATTACATAAATAAAAGTTCTTTATAAATATCTCTTTATAAACAATATAAATAGCTTTACAACATAAATACAATGATGCAAGGTGAGACTTTACATATAGCTCTGTCAGACCCCTTCCCTCCCGCACCATGTATACAAGTACCCCAAGAGACGTAATCCTTGCACTGCTGGATTGGGTCTCTCTGACAAAGCTTGCGGGCTTCCTAATGTAAATCATGGAGTGAATACGGACTTCATGTGTGATTTGCCTGTTCGGTCTAGTGTGTCTGGGATAGCTTCACTCAAACCCTTTGCAAACAGATTGATTTTTGTCCAAATCTGACTATGTAGTTACCTATCCCAGATAGTTATCTCTGGGCAGTGGCAGAATTTTATGAGTACTGAAATGTTACATAATTGTATACACTTTATTAGTATACGTTTATTAGTCCAGCATGAGCTGGGAAGACCTAGGGCTATTGTCTAACTTCACATTACGTCCTTACTAGACCATTTCTGCAAGTGCACATGTAATGTTAGTGTATCATGTTGGCTGGAACCCCTATGAATTACATTTCCACAGCTGCAAGTCATTCTACATACAGTAATTCCCTGTTTTACTATAATAATTTGCAGCTCTGTAACAAAGCTAAAAATAAAAACACAAAAAATAAAACATTGCGTGCATATCATTTAGAACATTGGAGCTTATTTACTTGGCCACAAGATCAGGGTAAAACTGACATTAAACTAACAGACAGGTTTCAAAATCATTAAGCAGCCACTAAAGTTTCAAGACCGACCATTCTCCCAGAAAGTACTATGGCCTTATTTTTGTATAGCTGGATAAGCAAAACTGACCTCTCTGGAAGAGGCTGGTCATTAATATAGACATGGCCAGTTGGTAAACCACAATGTGTTGCCTCATTACAGTAGCTCAAACACTTTCTAAAGACATTGAGCTGTCAATGGTTAAATCTCAGCTAAGAGACAGGTATGTGATGATGTAACTGTAACCTGGGGAGGATTTCCATGCGGCTGAGACATCAACAGGCCATGATTTAGGAATGGTTTTTGCACATACAGAGCCTAGTCACCCTACATGTGAAGAACACGAGTGAGAGTCTGCTTGGCCACCTAAAAGGTGAAGCATGTGTCTGAACACTGATATGTAAACATCTAGGCAGCCCTCGTTACAGATATGTACACAGAACGCACACTTATGGCTCTTGTGTGCTGGGAACAAAACGAAGACAGACAAGTGGTAACAGCAGGTCCTATGTCCCATCGTACCGGCCCGTCTCCCCAATGCAGAATCTTTGGCTTCTGGAAACGTAAGATTCTCAGCTGGGTGTCTACACTAAGACAGGATAATGACCAGTGATCAGAAAACCGTTGTCAGTGCTGGGAGCCTGGAAGAGAAAAGACTTTGGATTAGTATTGTTATTAGTGCAAGGCAAGCCAGGTTTCTGACTTCTCTCATGCAGCACTTCAAGGCTTGTAACAGCACATGGAAAATGCAGATGGAATTATGATCCTAGTTATTAATAACACAGCCCCAGGATTTTCACTGCCAGAAGCCTGGGAAGCACAGCTCTGGCCTGAAATCATTCATTTTCCTCGAGTTGTCACTGTATTCCTCCCACAGGCTGCAGGCAAACCCTGTACCTACTGCCCGTGTTTAAGCTGTACAGTTGGTACACAGACCTCCTCAGCTCTCTTTTTTCTACCTACCCTGCTATTTGTAGCTTCTTTCAGACACACTGCAGAGAAAATTCTGCATATACTTTAGTCTACCCTATATTCATAATTAAATGTGTTTTAAATCCAAAACCAAAAATGTTACATATTGTAGCCTATCGATCATTAGATGTAGTGACTGCATTAGTTTTCTTTTAGGCTTTTTTGCTTGCTCTGTTTTCATATGGTGATCTAACCTGTAACATTCCTTTGTATTAGAATGCCTCCACTCTGGATGAAGGAGCACAGGGGGCACCTTTGGACAGCAGCATTGTCAGTCTGGTGGCAGTAGAGTGGTAGATGCACTGGCAGATTTAAATACACTACCACACTGAAGCTAAACTCCAGCTAACACTTTATAGGCAGTTACAGCAAACAGATTTTTATCCTTGGAATAAAGGATTTAAAGAAATAAAAGTTGCTAATTGTAAGCACCCCTGTCAGTGTTAAAGGGTTTGTCTCATCCCTGTAACTGCTACATCTGCAGGACAGCTTGTTCTGATGAGAAATAAGAGACTTACTAGCTGGATCGCCAGGTGTAAATAAAAGAAAGAAAGCCTAAAACGGAAAAGGATGTAGCCATCACATTTAATAATTGGTAAGCTACAATATAATAAATATTTGCTTTTGGGCTTAATACCACTTTAAAACTGAACTCCAGGCACACATGAAAGACACAAGTACAGCAGCTCTGCAACTGCAGAAAGTGTAAGGACCTGAATTTGACTTGGTATCAGCTTTTTGCATTCCTTGTACAGCAGAGCTCAGACTAGGGGAGGAAGAAGCAGCACAAGAAGTTAATCAGTTGTGCTGCAATGCTTTGTGCTGACAGGAACATGCTGATAGGAGGAGAGAGCAGAGTGAGAGAGAGTTGAGCTCATCCATCTGCTGCATGCCCTTTCTCTGTACAGCCACAGACTAAGGAAGGGAAGGAGACTTGTAAGTGTTATTGGACTGTAACAGAGAAAGACAGTAGGTCTCCTGCCCTGCCAGACAGGGCTGTACTGTATGGCAGAGCTGGGTAAACCTCAAGATTGAAAGGACAGAAATACAAATCCTATGGCAGGTAAAACAGCTCACTTATAATTTTTTGTTTTCTGTCCTATATAAACATACTGTACCTGCATGAGATGGCATTATCTTCTACCCAATATAATACTTGAACAAGGAAACAGCTCACTTATATGTCTTTTATCTGTGTATTTAGATGTCTACCTGGAGTTACACTTTAAAGTATTGTTCCACCAGAGTCCAGCTGGGAATCCTCCCCCTGGGGTCTTAGCAAGGTATAAGAAGCTACTGCAGGACTAAACCTTCCCATAATCAACACAAAATTTAACTATCAGTATTCTATGGACATATTCTTTACATTTACTTGATATTTTTAAACTACTCCCATGTTTAGCAGGATTTTCAAATACTATTGTTGAATTAACTGCTGACTAGTCAGCATTGACAACAGAGATTTCCACATTGCACAACAATGGCGTTGGATCTTGCCCCGGGTCTGACTCAATTACATTTAGCATAGTGCAATGTACAAGGTGTACAGGTCAGCATTACACACAATAATACTGCCTTGTGCATGAACAAATACCTTTACATTTTTATTCATCCATACAATATATACAGAAAAGATACAGAAGGCTGTTTAGAAGTTATAACGTTCACACAAATATAATGATGCTAAAATATGTTGCAGTGAGTAGTGGAGAAGAAAGACTCGAGTAATAAATGTGTATTATATCTATGATAGCATGCAGAGGAAAAAAAATAGACGAAACAATATAGCAGTTCTTACTAACCACCACAAGATGGTGCTCCAGCTTCTAGCACCCTAAGCCACTCATGGCTCCAATGCGGTCCAGTTTGAGACCAAAGCAGCCCTTGGAGATGCCCTTCTTGTTGATGCCTTTAAATTTGCGGGAATTGGGGTGTTCGTTGAGTAGTCTGGTCCAAGCAGCCCGTGAGCGGGTGTCAGCACGAATGTCCCTCAAAAGACGAGCACGAGTTTTGGGGTCAATGCTTCGTTCTCCCCTTTCTCCAGATACTAAATAATCAGCCAGTTCCTCTCCCAGCAATGCACGAAGTGACTGCAAGACAAAGCAGATCAGTCCTACTTACAACGGATCCAAACGGGAAAGAATCGGACAAAACCAGGACAATGAGCTACTTCTGTGTTCAATTACCTACAATATGGGCTATACTGATGTACAAAGGGGGGAATCCTACACTGAAAAGAACTGAGATCGTGTATGCCAACCTCAAATCTACAATAAGTCCGATGGTGGGCTCTACTGATGTACAAGGGGGGGGGGGAATCCTACCCTGAAAAGGACTGAGATCGTGTATGCCAACCTCAAATCTACTATCATAATATTCTGGAAGGAACTCAGCAATGCGATGTGCTACTAACCCAGGACAACTGGCATGTACAGGATTGCTGCCAGGATTACACTACAAATTCCTGAAGAGCTTAAGTGCATTTGTATGCGGCTCACAAGCAAGCCAAAGGATTTCAGGGGCTTCTCAGCTGCATTGGCTTGCTTCTGAGTGGCTCTGAAAAAAAATGCTACGAGCTGCTTCTGAGCTGCATTGGCTTGTTTCAGAGTGGCTTTGAAAAAAATTATTCAAGCTGCTTCTGAGCTGCATTTGCTTGCTTTGGAGTGGCTCTAAAAAAATTCAGCAAGCTGCTTCTGAGATGCATTGGGTGCTTCTGAGTGGCTTTTAAAAAAAATGCTGCAAACTTCTTCTGAGCTGTATTTGCTTGTTTCGGAGTGACTTTGAAGAAAATGCTTCAAGCTGCTTATGAGCTTCATTGGCTTGCTTCTGAGTTGCTCTGAAAAAAATGCTACAAGCTGCTTCTGAGCTGCAATGGCTTGTTTCAGAGTGACTTTAAAAAAATGCTTGAAGCTGCTTCTGAGCTGCATTTGCTTGCTTTGGAGTGGCTCTAAAAAATGCTGCAAGCTGCCTCTGAGCTGCATTGGCTTGTTTCTGCGTTGCTCTGAAAAAAAAAAATGCAACGAGCTGCTTCTGAGCTGCATTTGCTTGCTTCTGAGTGGCTCTGAAAAAATGCTGCAAGCTGCCTCTGTGCTGTATTAGATTGCTTCTGAGTGGCTTTGAAAAAATGCTCCAAGCTACCTCTGAGCTGCATTGACTTGCTTCTGAGTGGCTTTGAAAAAAAATTATTCAAGCTGCTTCTGAGCTGTATTTGCTTGCTTCTGAGTGAATCCCAAAAAAAATGCTGCAAGCTTCTTCTGAGCTGCATTAACTTGTTTCAGAGTGGCTTTGAAAAAAATGCTTCAAAACTGCTTCTGAGCTGTATTTGCTTGCTTCTGAGTGGCTCTGGAAAAATGCTGTAAGCTGCCTCTGAACTGCACTGGCTTGCTTCTGGGAGGCTTTGAAAAAAAAAATGTGCTTCAAGCAGCTTCTGAGCTGCATTTGCTTGCTTTTGAGTGGCTCTAAAAAAATGCTGCAAGCTGCTTCTGAGCTGCATTGGGTGCTTCTGAGTGGCTTTTAAAAAAAAATGCTGCAAACTGCTTCTGAGCTGCATTTGCTTGTTTCAGAGTGACTTTAAAGAAAATGCTTCACGTTGCTTCTGAGCTGTATTTACTTGCTTCTGTGTGACCTTGAAAAAATGCTGCAAGCTGCTTCTGAGCTGCATTGGCTTACTTCTGAGTGGCTTTGAAAAAAAAATGCTTCAAGCTGTTTCCAAGTTGCTTAAGACAGGTAGTTCACATGCAAAAATCTCCTATGAGCCCTAGAGTCAGTTCATCCAAAGCAGAAATTGACCGACCAGTGGAAACTAGTGACCTGAATTACCTGTAGGGGTGACAGCAGCAGGACATTCCCACCAAAGCTCCTAATACACCCCAGCCATGGAGACACTTTGGCTGCAGGAAAAGTAACTGAAAAGCCAACAAGCCCAGCAATACCATCTAATATTGGCATTAAACTGGGGATGAATCTTTGAACTCAGGTACAATAATCTCAGTTTTGGAGTTCTGAAGCCAATGTAAGCTTGCTCCTGTTACATACACCCAAACCTGAAATACAATGGTGGAGGGGTGGTCGAATCCGAACCCTGGTGCAGAAGACTGAATGGAGCTGGCACAGTGCTCGCCTCATTTTGGGGCTTTACAGTATTGTAGCCTACAGAAGAATCAGCCCTGTAATAGACTACATTCACCTTCAATTACACGCAGTCACTGAGAGAGCCAGACTGGGAATAGACTTTCCATTGCTAATCGGTGCTATCTAAATTGGTTAACTAAGAGATAACTTGATAAAAGGCCAATTGCCCTTGAGAATTCATCGCCTGCTTTCTAGTATCAAAATGTGAACAACATAACCTGTTCACACCCACTGCTTATAAATAGGGGGATAGAGAGCAATAAAAGGGATTATTTCTGGACTGCCATCAGTCCCAGTTTGCTGACTAGGTGGTGGACTCTGAGCTGAACACTGTCACTCTATGAGATCATGTATTTCTTCACCTACTTACTAACCCTTCCATGACATGCACTCTATTTACTATATAGGTAAGGTAGGCACACGCCTGCCACAGCCCTGGATCAGGTCGTCACCAATCAATTGTTCTTAGAAGTCACACTTTCTGCTGACTTCAGTGTCTGCATGTTCCTAGTGAAGTCCCTGATCCTGATATTATATCTTCCTACTAAAGTCCCTCATCCTGATACTTGATCTCCCCACTAAAGTCCCTGATCCTGATATTATATCTTCCTACTAAAGTCCCTCATCCTGATACTTGATCTCCCCACTAACGTCTCTGATCGTGATACTAGATCTCCCGACTAAAGTTCCTGATCCTAGATCTCCCGACTAAAGTCCCTCATCCTAGATCTCCCCACTAAAGTCCCTCATCCTAGATCTCCCCACTAAAGTCCCTGATCCTGATATTAGATCTTCCCACTAACGTCCCTGATCGTCGATACTAGATCTCCCGACTAAAGTCCCTGATCCTAGATCTCCCCACTAAAGTCCCTGATCCTGATACTATATCTCCCTACTAAAGTCCCTGACCCTGCTACTAGATCTCCCCTCTAAACTCCCTGATACTAGATCTGCCCACTAAAGTCCCCGATCCTGATACTAGATCTCCCTACTAAAGATCCTGAGCCAGATACCAAATCTTCCCACCAAAGTCCCTGATTCTGATACTAGATCTCTCCACTAAAGTTCCTGATCCTGATACCTGATCTCCCTATTGAAGTCCCCGATCCTGATACTTGGTCTCCCTACTAAAGTCCCTGAACCAGATCTCCCCACCGAAGTCCCTGATCCTGATACTAGGTTTCCCCACTAAAGTCCCTGATCCTGATACTAGATCTCTCCACTAAAGTCCCTGATCCTGATACTAGATCTCCCCACTAAAGTCCCTGATCCTGATACCAGATCTCCATATTGAAGTCCGCGATCCTGATGGTAGACCTCCCTACTAAAGTTACTAATCCTTATACCAATTCTCCCTATTGAAGTCCCCGATCCTACTAGTAGATTTCCCTACCTATATCCCTTATCCTACTCCCCACTAAAGTCCCCGATCCTGACAGTAGACCTCCCCATTAAAGTCCCCTATCCTGACAGTAGACCTCCCCACTAAAGTCCCCGATCCTGACAGTAGTCCTCCCCACTAAAGTCCCTGATCCTGACAGTAGTCCTCCCCATTAAAGTCCCTGACCCTTATAGTAGACCTCCCTACTAACGTCCCTGACCCTTATAGTAGACCTCTCTACTAAAGTCCCTGACCCTTATAGTAGACCTCCCTACTAAAGTCCCTGATCCTGATAGTAGACCTCCCTACTAAAGTCCCTGATCCTGATAGTAGACCTCCCTACTAAAGTCCCTGATCCTTACACACCTCCCACAATGGTGTCTCACTTCTGCCGCACACAAAATAAATGAACGGGAGCATCCTCTCTTTATATAATTTCCTCTTTACTAATTGTTACCATCACAAGACTACATACCAAACCTGACAGGAGGATATGAGCTTGTGGGGGTCCCAACGACTACGATTGCCTATAGAGCAGCATCAGATCACAATGTATGCTAGCAGTGATAAGTTGCCTCTGAGATATATTGTAAGCCAGGGGCACAGTTGCTCAGAACAATCTATCAACGTGACTGCGGTGTTAATTTGGTGACCTACTCATTCATCAATTGACAGTAGCAGTTTTCAGCAATAAATGTAGATATTTTACATACAACAGCAGCTTGTATTGACAGCCTACCGCTTCTATGCTGTAAGTAAGAAGTGACAGCTGGCACAGCACAGCACCTTAAGAGTTTCCAGTCCCAGTGGTTTAATTTAAGCAAGGAATTATTCTCATGAAGGACAAGGAAAAGTTAATGCCTTGGACTCTAGCTATTTATCTGCCTGGCAGTTGCATGCTGCATCTGCGCTACAGAGTGCCCCATGATTTAAATATAATGTCAGACAGCCACCTGCTAAACTAATTTGGGAAGCTCGTTAAGGAATATCATTTATATCTCTGCCTTTCTCCATTCCCCTATCTTTTTTTATACCTATACCAATATCGTTATTAGATACATTGCTTATGGTGAATCTGTTTTACTTGTATAGTATTTTATTTCGGATACATAGGCTATGATTTAAGATCCATCCCTAGGATATGCTGTTTTCTGCACAGGGCTACCCAAGGGCATACATGGTCTATCTACATACAGCCAATTTCTTGTAGGACATTGAATTTGTTAAGGATCTGTCTCGGTTTTTCCACTTAAAAGAGCAGTTCTCAAGGGATAGCCTATGTTGTTACACAATGATAACATTTTTTCAACCATCTGCTTTTATGAACTCCCAATTCTCCATAAGCGCATCCTCTGGTACCCAGCCAGACACCTGGAATCTCCATGAGAACTCTAATATGTTGCCTTGGCCAAATACTTCTAGAGGTCTAAATGGGTGGTCCACCAGTCACCTCTTAGCTTCTCTATGGTCACCTCTGTAATACTCTACACCTATTATGAAGAACATGTGGGTAACCAGTTATGCTATGCTATGAGCAGCGCAGTGGCTTAGTGGTTAGTGGGTCAGGTCATTGTATCTGCATGGAGTTTGCATGGTTTTCCTGCGCTCGAGTTTCCACCACACTCTATAAACATGCTGGTGGATTAACTGGTTCCTGTCCAAACTGGCCCTAGAATGTTTATCTATGCGTGTCAGTTAGGGACTTTAGATTGTAAGCTCCTGAGGGCAGGGACTGATGTGAATGTACAATATGTAAAGCGTTGTTAATTGTGTGCACTATATAAACACCTAAAATAAAAGGCTCCATTCAATCTATTTATCTGAATGCACCACCAACTTTGGATAATATATTCTATAAAATGTAGCATTTATCTCTGGGGCTGGTTCTGTCTGCATACAATGTGTCCACTTGTGACATCTGCAAGTGATTGTTGGAGCATTGCTTGTGATACTCGGGTAGGTAAATATTATACACTTAAAAACACAAAACTTTTCATTATCAGTCCCATAGATGTGTTATTATACTTTATATCGGAATTCTACACTTTGTTCAGGATCCTGCTCTTTCTCCGCAGACAATGGAAGGATTCCTTCACTGAGAGTGTGCTGCTACTCTGATCCCTCAACTATGCAGAACACTTTCCAAAATCCTGGACCTTCTCAAGGAGCAGACCATCTTGTCTAGGAAAACCTGTCCATCTTGTAAAGGAAAACTAACATAAAACGTTTTGCAGTTTTTTTTAGTTCCCCGCAAGCCTCTAAATTCTACGATGTCCTGCTCTGAACCTCCCTTGCTCAAAGTTCTTGGCTCAACATATCCTATACAAGCTGTCCACAGGCTTTGAGTGTCACAAGCATCTCCACACACTTCTATGGGGAAATCTCTGGACTGACACAGCAGTGTAGGAGATCTAGGAAATGTCAATGAGGGGAATACAGAAGAGAACATTACAAGAGGCAATCAGGTCTCCCAGAACCCATAGCAGAAGGCGTTCATTGGCATACACCTTTAAAGACCAGCTAAACTATTCAATCATTCCTGATTATAATATATAGTGTTGGAGAAAGTGGGGTAGCAGTTATCAATATGCCCATTAGACATACAGGGGGTTATCTACTAAAACTGGAGAATGCAAAATCTGGCGCAACTCTACACAGGCAACCAATCAGCTTCCAGGTTTTATTGTCAACGCTTAATTGAACAAGTTGAAGTTAGAAGCTGATTGGGTACCATGTACAGCTGCACCAGATTCTGAATGTTCCAGTTTTAGTAAATCTCCCTCACAGTACATCAGGGTGATATCTAGCAGCATCCAAGAGAACATCTGCAGTCAGTACATGGAGAGTTCAAATGCTCAGCCAACTTTATTCAGGCAAGATGAGATTTCATCCTGTGTATTGCCAGCCTTGGTGGGACTGACAATGGCAGCCTCCCAGGTTGAATCCCAGGAATATCTGCTCCACTGTCTCCAAGCGTAAGGCACAATTGTCTATGGTGTTGATTCTATTTATCTATCTACCCATCCATCCATTGTCTATCTATCCATTCATTCATCCATTATCTATCTATCTATCTATCTATCTATCTATCTATCTATCTATCTATCTATCTATCTATCCATTATCTATTTATCCATTATCTATCTATTTGTCCATTATCTATCTATCTATCTTTCTTTTTTTCTATTTATTTAACTATCCATCCATCCATTATCTATATATCTCTCCATCTATTTATTCTACTTACTTACTTACTTACTTTTTCTTTCTTTCTTTTTTCTTTCTTTCTTTCTTTCTTTCTTTCTTTCTTTCTTTCTTTCTTTCTTTCTTTCTCTATAGTAGTGATTGGAGCAGCTCAGTGAGTGCCCACTCATCACCCCATCCACCTGTTAACCTGTTGATTCCCGGACACACATCAGCCTCCCTGTGTCACCAGGACAGGAGACCTGATTGATCCCAGGCTGGGGACTGGCACAAAGTGTGGGAAAGTTTGCTGATGAATACAGTGGAAAGAGTGACCGAACACACTGTGAGCTCCGAGAAAGTAGCCATGAGTGCAGCCAAGGCACGCCAGGTGCCCACTTACCTTCTGATGTGCCTGGGCTACAGGTTTAGCCTCTGTCCTTAGACACAGTACAGCCAGCACAAGTCCCCATCCAACGATATGACAGAAGTGCATCCTGACTGTAGGACTGTGTCGGTTCAGCATATACCCAATCCTCAAGTGTTCAAGCAGTAACAATTCAGCCAGCACAAGAGCTGAGAATGACTTGGGATCCCTCCTCCTCCTCCTAGTTCCTTGCTTCTGTAACACTCATATCAACACCCCATTCATTTTATAAAGCCATGGCGGTGACGTCACCTAACAGATAGGAGGTTCGCAGCTTGTAACTCTATCTTTCTTTGTTTACTGATCATAATGGGCGGGACTGGTAGAAATCAGGGTGCCATGTCCTCCCTATCCCTGCTGAGCAGTCTGCACCGGGAGACTCAGGGGTTAACCTCTCCCTGGCACTTCTAAAAATCTGCTTTATTCATTAAAATAAAAGGGAAACTCAAAGCAGAGATGTTCGAACATAAATGGTGGAAAACAGGGGGAGCAGTCTAGTCTGGGGTTCTCAGAGCAATATTTCTCCCCAGAATTGTCTGATTACCCGACCATGGTTGTCACCCTCTCCTATGAGGTCCGGAATCCTCTCCAGGCTGCCTTCCTCATTATGGGACTTGGTCACACTGTGTCCTCGGGGAGAGCTAATCCCAGATGACTGTCTGAGGACATGGGAAGGCATGGAAACTCTGCGAGGACTTATTCAGGGTGTGCTGGGGGACTTAGAGTATACTACTACTGATATACTGTGCCAGGACTCACTGTGGGACTTCTAGTATTCTTCCACTGCTGTGCTGTGCCAGGACCCACTGTGGGACTTCTAGTATGCTGCCACTGCTATGCTGTGCCAGGACCCACTGTGGGACTTCTAGCATGCTGCCACTGGTATGCTGTGCCAGGACCCACTGTGGGACTTCTAGCATGCTGCCACTGCTATGCTGTGCCAGGACCCACTGTGGGACTTCTAGCATGCTGCCACTGCTATGCTGTGCCAGGACCCACTGTGGGACGTCTAGCATGCTGCCACTGGTATGCTGTGCCAGGACCCACTGTGGGACTTCTAGCATGCTGCCACTGGTATGCTGTGCCAGGACCCACGGTGGGACTTCTAGCATGCTGCCACTGCTATGCTGTGCCAGGACCCACTGTGGGACTTCTAGCATGCTGCCACTGCTATGCTGTGCCAGGACCCACTGTGGGACTTCTAGCATGCTGCCACTGCTATGCTGTGCCAGGACCCACTGTGGGACTTCTAGCATGCTGCCACTGCTATGCTGTGCCAGGACCCACTGTGGGACTTCTAGCATGCTGCCACTGGTATACTGTGCCAGGACCCACTGTGGGACTTCTAGCATGCTGCCACTGGTATACTGTGCCAGGACCCACTGTGGGACTTCTAGCATGCTGCTACTGTTATATTGTGCCAGGACTCACTGAGAGTATACTGTGGAACTTCTAGTATGCTACTATTGCTATACTGTGCCAGGACTTACTGAGAGTATACTGTGGGACTTCTAGTATACTACTACTGCTATACTGTGCCAGGACTCACTGTGGGACATCTAGTATACTACTATGGTATACGTGCAAGGACTCACTGAGAGTATACTGTGCAAGGACTCACTGAGGGACATTTAGTACACTACTACTGCTATACTGTGCTAGGACTCACTGTGGGACATCTAGTATACTACTACTGGTATACTGTGCAAGGACTCACTGAGAGTATACTGTGCCAGGATTTACTGAGGGTATACTGTGCCAGGACTTACTGAGAGTATACTGTGGGACTTCTAGTATACTACTACTGCTATACAGTGCCAGGACTCAATGAGGGTGTACTGTGGGACTTTTAGTATACTACTACTGCTATACTGTGCCAGGACTCACTGAGGGTATACTGTGGGACGTAGAGTATACAACAACCTGTACTCATATACTACTACTTCTATACTGTGTAAAGACTCACTGAGGGTATACTGTGGGACATCTAGTATAATACTACCGGTATACTGTGCCAGGACTTACTGATAGTGTACTGTGGGACTTCTAGTATACTACTACTGCTATACTGTGCCAGGACTCACTGAGAGTATACTGTGGGACATAGAGTATACTTCTACTGCTATACTATGCCAGGACTTACTGAGAGTGTACTCTGGGACTTCTAGTATACTACTACTGCTATACTGGGCCAGGATTTGCTGGGAGTATACTGTGGGATGGACGTAGAGTATACTACTACTGCTATACTGTGCCAGGACTTACTGAGGGTATACTGTGGGACTTCTAGTATACTACTACTGCTATACTGTGCCAAGACTCACTGAGGGTATACAGTGGGACTTCTAGTATACTACTACTGCTATACTGTGCCAGGACTCACTGAGGGTATACTGTGGGACTTATAGTATACTACTACTGCTATACTGTGCTAGAAGTCACTGAGGGTATACTGTGGGATGTAGAGTATACAACAACCTGTACTCATATACTTATATTGTATACTGTGTGAAGACTCGCTGAGGGTATACTGTGGGACTTCTAGTATACTACTACTACTGCTATACTGTACCAGGACTTACTGGGGGTGTGCTGTGGGACTTCTAGTATACTACTACTGCTAAACTGTGCCAGGACTCACTGAGAGTGTATTGTGGGACTTTTAGTATACTACAACTTGTACTTATATACTACTACTTGTATACTGTGTGAAGACTCACTGAAGGTGTACTGGGGGACTTATAGCAAACTACTGCTTGTACTCATATACTACTACTTGTATACTGTCTCAGGTCTCACTGAGAATATACTGTGGGACTTATAGTATACTACTACTGGTATACTTTGCCAGGACTCACTGAGAGTGTACTGTGGGACTTATAGTATACTAAAACTTGTACTCATATACTACTACCTATATAGTATGTGAAGACTCATTGAGGGTGTACTGTGGGACTTATAGCATACTACAACTGGTATACTGTGCCAGGACTTACTGAGGGTCTACTGTAGGACTTATAGCATCCTACTACAGGTATACTGTGCCAGTTCATACTGACTTACTGAGAGCATACTGTGGAACGTCTAGTATACTACTACTACTGCTATACTGTTCCAGGACTCACTGAGAGTGTACTGTGGGATTTATAGTATAGTATACTACTACTACTTGTATACCATGCCAGGATTTACTGAGGGTGTACTGTGGGACTTTTTGTATACTACTACTGGTATACTTTGCCAGGACTCATTGAGAGTGTACTGTGGGACTTATAGTATACTACAACTTGTATTCATATAGTACTACTTATAGTATACTACTACTACTTGTATACTGTGTCAGGACTCACTGAGAGTGTACTGTGAGACTTAAAGTATACTACTGCTACTTGTACAGCATGCCAGGACTCACTGAGAGTGTACTGTGAGACTTATAGCATACTACTACTACTTGTATACCATGCCAGGACTCACTGAGGGTGTACTGTGGGATCTAGAGTATACTACTATTTGTATTCATTGTGAGGACTCACTGAGGGTGTACTATGGGACTTGTAGCATACTACTACTTGTATACAATGCAACGACTCACTGAGGGTGTACAATGACTTATACAATGACTTATAGTATACTACTCCTTGTAATCACACAGTGCTGCTTGTGTATTCTACTATCATATGATATGGACATCACAATGTATTGGTGAGATGATTGGAGGCATGAATGCCAAGGACTAAGGAAACATAGTCTGAAAAGTAATGCAAAAGCTACATACAAATTATTATTGTCCTGTTCTTTCACTCTCTTCTCTCTCCCTCTCTTTTTTTTTCTCATTCTCTTTACCCTTTCTTTCTCCCCCCATCTTTCCCACTTTCTCTTACTCTTCTCTCCCTCTCCCATTCTTTCTTCCTCTCTTCCCCTTACCCCCACTAAAGGTATTGAGACCTTTTTTAGTCTCTCTCTCTCCCATACTTTCTCTGTTTCTCTCGCCCTTTCTCACGCTTCCCTCTCTCCATTTCTTCCTTTCTCTCTTCCCTTTTTTTCTCTCCATCTCCAACTTTTTCTCCTCCCTTTCTTAATATTCTCTCTTTCTCTCTCTCTCTCCACCCTTCTCTCGTCACCTTTCTCTCTTTACCATTTTTCTCTCTCTTCCACTCCTGCTCTCTCCCCTTTCACTTTCTTCTCCCATTCCTTTTCCCCCTTTAACTCCCCTCTCTCTTTCCTCTATCCTCACTTCCCATTTCCCTGACTCACTCCACCCTTCCATACTCTCTCCCATCCTTTCTCACCCCTCTCTTTTACACTTCTCTCTCTTTCTCCCTCTCTCCCCACTTTTTTTCCTTATTCTCCCCCCCATCTCCCACTTGCCCCTTTTTTTCTCTCTCTCTTACTCATTTCTCCTCTCTCTTTCTTGTTCGCCTAAAGGACTACTTGCCTCTACATTGTCCTGGTCTCTCTCTTTTCTCCATCCCTCCTTCAGTCTTTTTTCTCTTTCTCTCCTTCTCTCTTCTTCTTTCTCACACTCTCTCTCTGTTTCTCCCTTTCTCTCTGTTTTTTTCCTTTTCTTTCTCTGTATCTTTTTCTTTTCTTCTTCTCTCTCTCTCTCTCTCTCCTCTCTCTCTCTACTCTCTCACTCTCTCTCTCTCTCTCTCTCTCTCTCCCCCCCCTCTCTCTCTCCCCCCTCTCTCTCCCCCATCTCTCTCTCTCTCTCTCTCTCCTCTCTTTCGTTCTCTCTTTCTTTATTTGCTCCCCCCCCTCTCTCTCTCTATCTATCTCTCTCCCTTTATCTCTCATTCTCTCTCTCTCATCATCTCTCTCTCCCTTTCTTTCTCTGTCTCTCTCTTTCGCTCTCTGCACAGTCTCTGTTTCTTTTCTTTCTTTCTTTCTTTCTTTCTTTCTTCCTTCTTTTCTTTCTCTCTCTCTCTTTTTTTTCCTTTTTTTCACTGTCTTTTTTTTTCTTTCTCTCTCTGCACACTATATTTATCTCTCCCTCTCTCTCTCTCATTCCCTTTATTTCACTGCCTGTCTGTCTCTCTCTCTCATTCCCTCTCTCATCCCCCCTCTCTGTGTCTCTCTCTCATTCCCTCTCTCTCATTCTC